CATATGTAAGTTTCTTTTCTCAAGATTGGATAGTTTATTGTCTATCCAACTCATTGTGATAAAACAACAAGACATAGGTTAGATTATCTTTAAACATTCTAGTCTCAAGCATGTGACATTACAAACCACAAAGTTGTTACAACTTTTTAACTATTATAATTTATATGCTAATGAAAAATTGCTTAAGAATATCTATTACCTAGCTTTTAATAGGAGTGATAACCTTAATTTTTGTTGATTATCTGTTTGCCCCTCACTTAAGGATGTCAATATGTAATTGCTTCTATGACCATAATTGGATATAATAATATTCAAACTATTAGTAACACTCAAATGTATTGTTGTTATATAAATAATATATGATAAATCAAAACACTTTGTTTTAATTATTGTATATGTAAAGGGAACAAACAACTCCTTACTTATTTTAAGCCTATCATGCATCCATGACATAACTAGTGGTATAGATCAACAATAATTATAGACGCCTAACTATATTCTAGAATATCATTGAATTTCTCTAGCACTAATATATACATAACTTGCACTATATTCTCAATCATACTTATGAATAAGATGCTGCCAATCATGTGCATAATGTATGCTTTAATATACCCACACAACATCTCCTCATTTACATCATTAGAAGGTGAGCCCAAAAACATATACTTAAATAACTTCAACTTGATGGCATTCTTATTCACAACATTAGTAAGGATACATATCCCCATAAACACTAATATAAATCCTCACTCTTTATTAATCCCTTGCAAGTTACAAGCCATCCATCAAAAGGTTGGATAAGAATAACAACTTTTTAGAAGCATGTGTCATCTTATATGCACAAAGATAGAACGTATGAATCTCATATGTTTATCTCTTAATCAATGCATCGACAAATTGCAATCCAGTTTGATGTGTTGAAAGCAAATGATGTAATATAAATCAACCTAAACAACATATATAAATTAAAACCCATCAATCTATAATGTAGACAATATATCTTATCATTGGCCTGAAAATTAATCAAATAACATAAATACTAGTATGATTATGATATTATGAATATGTTTGAATATAATAAAATGTATACTTACACATCACATCTATATGTCTTTTAATTTATAATGGTTCTACAAGTACAGAATCAATGTACATATTACTATATAGGATCAATGTACATATTACTATATAAGATCAATGATAAAATTGCTCTCTTTAACATGTTGACCATGGTATCCACTTTATCAATGGACTTTTAGTGAACTTGAAACGCCTCCTCTTATACGTGGTATCATCTCAACATGAATTAGTAAGATATAAATTTGTCCCATTTAGTTGTTAATATTCAAATAATAAAATATAGTATAATAATAAATAATATTAATATATAATAATAACAAATAACATTAATGTACATCATGTTGACATATGATGTCCAATTTAGCAAATTTGTTTATCGTGCCCTCTCTCACAACATATGTTGTATTTATTTCAGGTATGTCACTCTCTTGCATCCATTTTGCTATGTAACCGAGTAGATATCCTTCAATCCAAGTAGCTTTTTATCTTGAGGGTTTTAGTTGTATTCAAGGCTTAATATATTCATTGTATAATGGTTTGTTAAGTAAAGGATGAAATAAAAGAGCAAATGTGTTTTGGTACATGTCAGAATTGTAGAATATGTCAATAAATCGGGTATAGCGAACTCGTTGTGTTGTATATGTGAACATGATTGATGTAATGTTTTTCATTTACCACAGGTGAAACTTCCTTCTTCTATGTTAAAAATTAATGTTTAGCTTGATTTCAACCCAAATAAACTGATTATTAATTTTGACATGATTGCAATAACGTTTGATCTGCTGACGCAAAAGAAATAAGTAATAACCACTTTCTTATTTGAATTTGGCATCTAAAAAAATTGATGCTTGAATAAATTAAAAATTTATAATTAGTGTATTCCCACCTCATATAACCAGAATATAAAATTTGAGTTAATTTTGAGGTGTTTTGATAGGCTAATATGAAACAGATGTAATCAAACTAGATTTAACCCAACTAACATTTTTGGTGTGTAATTATATTTTTTTTACTCTAAAAGAACAATAATAATGAAAACATTTTTGGTACATGTTAAAACTGTAGAACAAGTCTATAAATTAAGCATAGTCAACTAGTTATGTCATACAACATGCAAGAATGTGGTGGTGGCCAAGTGGTAAGGACTTGAGATCAAGAGGTTTGCTCCCTCTGTGGTCTCAGGTTCGAGTCCTTGGTTGCTCATATGATGGCCACTGGAGGCTTACATGGTCGTTAACTTCAAGGCCCGTGGGATTAGTCGTGGTGCGCGCAAGCTGGCCCGGACACCCACGTTAATCTAAAAAAAGAATGTGCAAACATGATTGATGTAATATTTTCTATTTACCACACGTGAAACTTCCTTCATGTGAAACTTCCTTCATGTATATTAATAGTTTTCTGAATCTCACATTGAACATCAGGTTAAGGCAAGTGCTGACCAGAAAATATTTTATTTTGATATTAAAAAGAGTTTTTGTATGATCTCTTAATTTATTTTAATTTTTTATGATTTCATAAAATACTTTTGAAAGACAAAATATATAATATAAAATGAAATCTTTTGCAAGGTTTTATGATGGAAAACATACTTATTTGATCTATTGTACATGTCAAAACAAACTGTAAAACAAGTCTATAAATTAGGCATAGTCAACTCGTTATGTCATACAAGATGCAAGAATGTGCAAACATGATTGATGTAATATTTTCTATTTACCACACATGAAACTTCCTTCATATATATTAATAGTTTTCTAAATCTCACATTGAACACCAGGTTAGGGCAAGTGTTGACCAGAAAATATTTTATTTTGATATTAAAAAGGGTTTTTGTATTTTGATATTAAAAAGGGTTTTTGTATTTTGATATTAAAAAGGGTTTTTGTATGGTCTCTTAATTTATTTTAATTTCTTATGATTTCATAAAATACTTTTGAAAGACAAAATATATAATATAAAATGAAATCTTTTGCAAATGAAATCTTTTGCAAGGTTCTATGATGGAAAACATACTTATTTGATCTATAAGGTCAATTGGTCTAGAGTAGTGGTAACAGGCGATGCCCATCAAGCTTTCAAGACATTATTAAAACTTCTAGCATATTATTTTTCATATTGCCATAACGATAACTCTTATTATATGAAGCGTTCATTGTTTATTTGGCTTGTGCTCTAGTTGTTTTTTGATTCATAGGTCCTTCTAAATTATTTGAACATGCATCAAATTTTCATTTTAAAGTTTCACAAAATGGTCTCTTAATTTATTTTAATTTCTTATGATTTCATAAAATACTTTTGAAAGACAAAATATATAATATAAAATGAAATCTTTTGCAAATGAAATCTTTTGCAAGGTTCTATGATGGAAAACATACTTATTTGATCTATAAGGTCAATTGGTCTAGAGTAGTGGTAACAGGCGATGCCCATCAAGCTTTCAAGACATTATTAAAACTTCTAGCATATTATTTTTCATATTGCCATAACGATAACTCTTATTACATGAAAGTGTTCATTGTTTATTTGGCTTGTGTTCTAGTTGTTTTTTGATTCATAGGTCCTAAATTATTTGAACATGCTTCAAATTTTCATTTTAAAGTTTCACAAAACATTATTTTTGGTAACGTTTTTCGACGTTGAATATTTAAAACTTGTGTTAAATTTACTGACACAGTGATATAAACAATAATACCGATGAAACTAAATCAACTTGGGACACATCTCTATCATGGAATGATAATTCTTAATAACCATATGTCTATCTCATAATATACAGATATTGTAGTATAACCACCATTAATGTATTGTCGAATGCATTGTAAAACCATGTCTCGTTTGTTTCTTTATCGATTTGAGCAAAACCAAAAGAAAATATGCCATTTATCGTATCAAATCGAACTAGAATCAACAACTTTCCAACAAAATTATTGTATAAATGGGTGTCGTTACCATTTCTCATCAGCCGACAATTATACCTCCAAACCTCAGTCGTACCTTTCAATGCATAGAAAACTCTTTATCGTTACATCATCAAGATATCCCTTATGATGTCACTGCACAATTGTAGGGGGATTTGATTATTGAAGAGCCTCCAACAATCTAGGCTGAATTTCAAAAGTCTCCTTAGGTGAGCTGACAAGTCGCTTAAGCACCTTCTATTTCTCCTACTGTACCTTACAACCCCATATTGCATACTTGCTGTTGTATGAATGGGCGTAATGTCTATACTGTATAAACCGCTAGTGCAAGAGGTGGTCTTCTCTAACATATAATTTGGTATATGTGTAGTGACTTGTCAACTTTGAGATCTTGAACAGATCAGAATTTTTATGGTACCTCTACCAGGCCCCCATTTACATGTTGAATTTGCTCCTGAATTTCTTTCAGAGTAGAGAAGAAGCGTACCTGATTAAGTCCGAGCATAGTTCAACGCCTCTCAATCTATATTAGATGACAAACCCAGCCGTAGACTTCAAACTCACGTCAATACCGACATGCCAGCGTTCCCCAATTTAATCACTTAATTCCAAAGTACGAGGCATTTCATCGTTACTTGAAGGGACTTTTTCAGCATACGGAAAAAAGTTTGCCACAGCAAAAGCACCGTCTTCCTTTCTACACCCCTGTTTGTTCTTATGTACCGCCAAATTCTATGGTATCATGGTTGCTGCGCAACAGAAAAGCACCCTCTACCCCTCTTCTTTTCTCTACCTGTTTCTGTAATATTTACGAACTTAAAGGCCCATCAAAGTACTGGCTATTTCTTTACTTACAAGCCCTTACAAAATATATACTTTTCTTATACTGCTGTTCATAGTGAAATCGATGCGAATCTTTTAGAATGCTTCCTCCAAGTTGTCATACGCCATCAGAAGATGTAAGCTTGTCCTTTCTAGTCTGTTCATCTGATGCCGAATCTACATTGCACACAGGTTTCCGGACTTTTCGCAAAATGTTTTCGGTAGCCTTAATGGCATCAATTGATGCAACAAGGTCATTGCAATGAAGGGAGGATGGAATGATACAAGGTCATTGCAATGAAGGGAGGATGGTAAATTATTTGCCACCTGGTCGTTGTACATGCTGTTTCCCTCTTCAGAGTCCTCAACAACACAATCAGCAACTTCCTCAGGCTCGGTTGATTTTGAAGATAGTTCATGGCAATTAGTTTGTGTTTGATGATCAGATCCCTCAATCTGGGAAAGAAAATGATCTTCATCAACCCCTAACCCTATCTCTGATGATTTAAGGGATCCACTGATAGATGCTTCAGAACTGGAATCATCATAAGGTTCCTCAATCTGCATATATTTCTTATTGCTTGATGATGAACCGAGAGATCTACGATTTTTATGAGAAAACATGGTTGGGAGAAATTCAGTTGCCAAGCCAGTATGTTGCAAATAATCTCCTGTGTCTGATGATGAATCAGAGATTCGCTGTTTTTAAGCAACAATCAAGAATTCATTAACTTCCATAGGAAACAATTGATCATAGCCAGTAAAGATAAAACAATTACCTCTACTGGTGACATGCAACTGCTCCCATGAATTGTTCCTGTCTGCCAGCAATCTTCATTGGAAAAGGAATTCAATCCTAGTTCTCCAGGTTGTTGTTGATGTGCAACTCTCATTGGAGATTTCGTTGTGACTGAGATATTAATCCCCGTATCAGTATCAGTACCAGATACTGAACTAGATATCTCCTCAAGAAACTCAACTCCAGTTTCTTCTTCATCTGGATCAGAAAATTGGGTAGATGACTGATCTTCAAGAATTTCACAGATCAACTTCTGGATGCATGCCCTTTTCAGAGAGGCCTCCACAGGTAGAAACCAATTTCTATTAAGCTGGTCAAAGATTAACAAATTTGTAACTCACTAAAAGCATCGTGAGATAAAAAATTTCAGAACAAAAAAAAAACAAAGCCAAATATTGATCACTCAATTCCAGTGTAGTATTTACTGTCCAGTACAGCAGGATTTGAGACCTTCTTGTCCTAACCCCATTTAGAAAATTGGAGGGAAAGATAAGAGTCCCAGTAAAAGCAAGAGAATATATAATTTACCAATTTTATTTATAAAAAAATTCCACCAGTTCTTGCAGTTTATAAAGTTGTAAAGACTTCCATGAATTGATTATGAGACCAAGTAGCTAAAGTTTAATCACAACTGCAGTTGTGAAATACAAGCTAAAAACAGAGCAGCTTAGTAAGAAACACAAAATAGCATGGAGAAAACAATTAACACTTTTAATTGAAAAAACAAACATATACAAGAAACACCTAAATCATCAGTTATCATAGAGAGTTTGCTTTCAGAGACTAGAAATGTAATGCAAGGATGCCAGCAGGCATGGGGCTCATAGATTTTTCAACTTGGAAATGCTTAGCACTGATATCACTCAGTTTCATTACAATAAATATTTATTCATTCGAAACAAATCTTACCACAGAGGTGAAGTTAGGAAAGTACAGTAATCACCACAAGAAGTTACAAGCTGTGCAGATGATCCAATGAATGCAAAACCAAAGAAAACAAATTTTTAACTTACGAAGTTTGAAAACTCTGTTATCCTGAAAGGACTGAAATTAATAGGAGCTTCCTCAAGAAAACGTTCAACATAATGGAGCACAAACAGGCCACAGTCATATGAATTTTCCTGCTGTGGAAGCTGAATCAAAGTGGTAAAAGAAATTGCGGTTAATAGACTAAACTGTATAAAGGACAAACTTGCTAATTTTCTGAAAAGGTAATCCATGAACAGATGTAGGGGAAGTTTATCATGCAGCAATTCTTTGTTTCTAGCTGAGTCAATAAAATATCAAGATTTTAAATTAAGAAACGAGCTTAAATGTCATCAATATATTAAATTAGGAACCTTTTTTTTATTAACTAAATAAGTTTTTGATGGATTTACAAGATTTGGACATAATAATCCCTTATTGAATTAACCCCATCCTCTCCTTTACCACTTAACTAGATAGCCATGGGGTCAATTACACAATTTTCATCCTGCAAGACATTTGCCAATGGAGTTCTGTTTCCATAAAACATTTGCCATTGTGGGTTAAATCATTAATTTGCCTGACCTATAATACGACCCACATGTGTCTGACATTCAATGTCCCTACATTGAATCTGATAAGTTGTCCCATTACTTCTATAGAAAAACAAATATGCAAGCCTAGTTTGATACTGCAATTCATATTTAGCTTTGAAGTTTTAAAAGGAGACAGATGGACTTCACTGGTAGAGATGAGGTCCAGAATGAGTTCAAGACTTATTTGTCTAGCTATTATGAGAAAATGAGAACCTTGATTGAATTTTTGGATAAGCTTCAGTCTAGTGGTGTTTTCTTTTAACAGTTTCTTCCATTAGGATACTTCAGTGAACTGCAATATAGCATTTAAGGCAACTATTGAGAAATTAAAAGGCAAAACAAGAAAACCATTTTTAAAAGTGTGACAGTACCTCAAGTGGGACAAACCGTAAATGTAAGAACTTTGACAATGTATCATCCACTGTCCCATTATGCCTTTCTCTCCACTCTTCGACAATGTATCATCCGCTGTCCCATTATGCCTTTCTCTCCACTCTTCATAAAGATAACTGCCATCTCATGACATGTAAACAAAGAACTCATTTCATATGAAGGCATTCGAAGCACAGCAGCAGCAGACAAATATAATTAAAGGGAAAAAATAGCACCAAGAAAAAGTAAATGGAATTACAGATGCAATGTTGTTTTCCCATCCAAACAACTACAACTAGCATGTTACCACTTTGTTGTTATCAGGTAATCAAATACAAAAATATTGAAGTCTTTTTATTAGAGTTTTAGTGTCAACTATAAGGCATCTGTACCATTAGTGTGAGCCTTGGATTTTCAAAAGTTATATAATCGCTAGCTAGGAATAACCATAGCAATAAAGAGGTTACCTCTGAATAAGATTCTTGAGGCCCCTATGACTTCCTCTGATAGAATCCATGTGTAAGATGCATGGTACCTTAACTGAATTTCTGCCTTCATCTTCTATGAGATTACCACAAAAACAAATCAAGCAAAGATAAACCTCAAAACACAATAAAAACAGACTTCATCGAATAGGCTCTTGCCTCTGGAATGAACCACTTCTCGAGGATGACAAATGACAATCAAACTCCAGTGAAGACTGCCACCGAGAAAGTTTAATATATTTCACATTAATCAAACTCCAGTGAAGACTCCAGTGAATAGGAAAAATGAACACAAACCTAACACATAACAGAATGTCCACTGGTGAATAGGAAAAATGAACACAAACCTAACCTGTAATTTATAGGAATGAAAATGTAATCTTTCTCGAAAAGATTCATTTTTCTTGTCCATTTATGAACACGTTGAAAAGCTAGCCTGCCTCCACAAGCATTAGATGGGCCCTTGTCTAGGTCAGCAAGCTTCCGAAAGAAAAAGCTATTGAAAAAGTGGAACCTATGCTTGTCCTCAGGCTTAAGTTTACTCTTTAAATACCTGTCAAATGGACTAATCTTTTAATTCTCTGTTATTTCAGTGTAGAGAAAGTAAATAAAGCCCATAAGACTAAAATATTCATTTCTTAAAAAGTAATCGAAAACCTATATACCACAAATAACATCACAGTAGTGAATCATGCTTCAACAAGAAATAGGATGCGTAGAAGAAAATGTAAGTTACAACAAGTTGTTCACAGCAAACCAATTGAAGTAGAAAGCTTACAAACATAAAAATCTCATAACCAAAAGCTGTCACATCCAATTCATTTCATTTAATGCTCCTCGGTGGCGAGCCTTAAAACTAATTACTGGTGTGATAAGCCAGACAAGGATTAAAAAAACACTTTAATTTAATGCATGTAATTATTGATATTAGGTAAGGGTGTAACAGTGTACTAATGTAAATCTTAAATTAAGAATGGATAAACAAGTAGAGCCAGGCCACCTGCCAACCTGGATGAAGCAACATTTACAAGCATTAATTACTCCCTCCATCTTCACTTCTTGAACTAAACACCAGCCATAGCGAATTATTTACAAGAAACCAAATATAAAAGCAAACATCTGACTGCTTCACTCACGGACAAGGCCTTCTGTCAGCCTAAGCACTAGATCATGCAGCCTATCCCTCAACTTAAGCAAAAAGAAAAAAGTGTAGGGTCTTGGCAAAAAACAAATCTACTTCTTGGGTAAGATTTCCATAATTTCTTCCAGTCAAACACAGAATTACTAGAAATGAAACAGCTTTATCCCACTGTCTCCAAATAGTTTAGGAAAAGTATGATTTAACAAATATACTCACAAATCAAACACTTTAGATTAGATGTTACCTCTTTGGATGTCTGATCACTTAGCCAGTTGCATCTCAATCAATCTCTTTTCCACTATCAACTAATTATTTCAAATTTCATTAAGTCCGACAATCCCAGACCATAAGTTCTGAACTCAAATGTGCTAGAAAAATAATAAAACCGACAAAGGTGATAAGGGTATGGAGTATTTAAAAGGAACTTTCATCCCTTTATGTTACTATTCTAATTCATGAACTAGTATATCAGGCTGCAACAATGAAACTGAAAGACTTTATAACAAATCTTATGCAAGAATATCCGGCCTCAACTTTTGATCCCAAATGTACTTCTTTCTCAGGAGAGAGGGGAAAAAAACCCTATGTTGATCACTATAGAGGCTATATCAAGAAATCAATTGTGAAATTAAATAAAATAAAAAATAAGAAAAAGAACTCTAATCCCTTTATGATATAATTCTGCTTCATGAACTTGTATATCAGACCTCAACAGTGAAACTTATGTGACTTAATAACACATCCCATGCAAGAATTTCTTTGAACATACAACATAAAAACCAAATTCTGGAGCTTGAAACAAATCAAACGGGGTCACATCAATAAACCCATTAGTAAGTTGACCAATCTTACAGGATATAAAAGTCAATGATGGTATCATTGATGAATGTCTCTGGGCGTAGAAGCTCCACATCTCTCTTACTAATAGAAACAGCATCAGGATCACCTTTAGGATAGATAACCTCTTCAAATGTCTCATGAAGACTGAAATAAAAAGAGCTTAAATTTGAAAAAACTTATCACAGAAAAACAAGTGAAATTCAGTTTGAGAAAAAAAAAGAAATAGTCAACAAGTTTAAGAGTGCATATACAAATTCACGTATAAAGCTTAATTTGTACATGAATTATAAATTAATCAAGCAAATATACAATGTGAGACCACACATTCTTGCAGTAATAGTAGAGTTAACCATATAATCAGCAAAAACCACATAGAAAAGTTATGGCTCACAGCGAAAAAACATTTTGCAGAAGGTTGGTAGGCCTTAAAAAGTAAAAATATTTGATGAACTGCAACTGCATAAGATGCAAGGACTTTTACCATTGAAAAAGTTAGAATCAGAGACTTCATGCTGTCAAAATAAAAGGTTATTCCAAATTTACTTAATCTATATCAAGATATGAGAGAGTTCATGTCTAGAAAAGTGATTTACCAAATAAATTATATGTGCCTCCAAAACCCAAAAGTGAACAACAAATATAATATAATTATTACAACCAGGAAAAGTATGTATATAACAAGAGTGAGAGCAACAACCATGAAGGCTAACTACTAAAATAATTAATGAGGAAAATCAGCTGGGCTCGCATGTCATACCCTATTTGGTGTTCGATTAGCAAATATTTACATTTATCCATTGACTTACACAGGAAAATAAGACTTTGAGATGACCATCCCATTGTGCCCAAAAAAGGCATTTCCATCATTTTTCCAATCAGAGCTGTAGCATAAAAAAGGAAAAAAAAAAAGGATCAACATAAAGAACCTCTAATGAAGCAAACTCACTATTAAAGCTAACTGAAACAGGCTATTAGAAATACCTTGTGTTGGGAATAATAGTTCCCAATGCAAAATAGAGTGAAGCCAAAGACACAAAGAACTTGAAATTAAAACTGAAAAAGAAATGCAAGCTAGCATGCGGTAGGGTATAAAAATTGATATCGCCAATTCATTAAAAAAGCTAAGCAACCAGCTGAATAATCTCTGAAAAGTTAAGCAAGAATCCCATCTGGGATAATCATGTACACACATATAGATGGGTGGGTATTAGCAACCAGATTGAGAACTCACTCAGAAGTAACATTCCAGCTATCCCTGTATCTGACATGCAATGATTTGATTGCTTCCTCTCCTTCATTCCAAAGAGGATCACAAACTGAAAACTTCAACTTGTCAACACCTGCTTGCATTTTTTTATGAAAAACTCAACATATTAGAGCTTTATTGACATAAATTTTGAGCAGTATATATTTTTTCCATATAGTGTCTGCCAATCCATTAAGAGTACGAAACAAATTGAACATAAACATAAAAAAAATATAATCTCATCAACACTTTTTGATTCATATTGGCCAAAAATTAGACCCCTGTCTATATACAGAGAATGCTGGCATTGCTCTAAGAAGGAGCAGCATGCAACAAATATAAAACTTACGGAAAAAAGGGCAATGGCACAAAATCAACACAGCAACAAGCAAGCCTCAATCCCAAACTAGTTGGGGTTATGTCTCCAAATATTATACAAACCAATCTAATTTATTACTGCTTGCTCGTGTGGCCAGCTGATTGGTAACAAGGATATAGGATAACATATTTCTATTGCAACCAAAATGATGGCACAATGCATCACATGGAATTAAGGAAAAAACTACAAGGAATTATCTGAGAATATACAGATAAAAAAAATTATATGCAACGAGCAAGCTGAATAAACTTCTAGAAAAATTGTGTCAAAGCAGGAAACAATAAGGCATCATCAATAGTAATTTGTGAACAGGTTGCATATAATGCTGCTTGCATCCTAGAATCTGATCTACATAATATAAAAGGTAGCTTGAACAAAATCCTCCTGGAATTGTACAAACCTGAAGTATCATTTGTATTTCCAGCTCCTTGAGAAACCTTTGATTTAAAACAGATATAAACCATAGCAGTCGTAACCTACATCCAGTGATGTAAGAAATTTAACTTGCTCAAATCAGCAAGCATACGAAGAAGAAAGTATGGGTGGTATAACTCACCATTCCACACCATTCTGACTCAATACTAATAATATCATCAAGTGTCCACTCAGCATTAAACATTCCCTTGACCCCATTTGCAGTTGAACCCTCCATTCTGATGCTGCTTCCTGAGAAAGTTAAGCAATACTCTGCACCATATACATCGCCACACAGGATATAGTCAGGGAAAACAGCAACTGTATTATTTGTGTAATCCTGCAATACAAATGCATTGATCCATGAGTTCTATCATAGAATGTCTTAAATAAAAGAGGGGTAGAGAGAGAAGCGAGCTGCGGAAAAAATGGATGGTCATCTGGTATTAAATTAAGACAAACGATGTAAGACTACTGATAAGAGAAGGAATCTCTTTTAGAAAGTGTGTTTTTCTAGTACAGGAAAAAAAAAGGACTATATTAAAAAAGAACGTGTGTGAATTTTAAAAAGTGGTTTTTGCACACCACTCTCAGAATTAGCCATTTAAAATCTAGCAAATAGATGCAGTTTCAGAGGATTTCCAATCTCAAATAGGTTAAGAAGTAAGGCATTCCAACAGGCCCAAATAGAATAAACTAGGGTTCATTTGAAAACTGAAGTTTCTTCACACAACTGAAGAAAAAGAACCATTTAATTCCTAAGAACCATTTTGTCAGAGCAAAGTAAGCTGGCAAAAAATCTAATGCAATGACAAGATTTTAGGTTATAATGAAGACAATGTAAAGTTGCATATCTAGATCTATATTATATTCCTTAATACATACAATTTTCCCAGTTCACCTTCATGCATATTTACTTAAAAAATGTGGAAAAATATAATCTGTCCCTTTATCATTCATAAATGTAATCTTCAGGCAGCTCCCAATATCAATAGTTCAATTATACTTTTTTGGAAAAAAGAACACAGGATACTTACAATTTTATGTCCAACAGAACCACACCCTAGCACTTGGTTTCCTAATGGAAATGAAAGAATGCACATATTTTAAATAATTTCATCAGCTCATCCATGACAAGGAGAAGATAATACAGAATCAACTCCAAAAAAGATGAGGGGGACAGAAGATTAGAACCTGCATTCTCCACAAGAGTAGAGACAGAAGTGGATGAGCTCATTTCAATCCCAACATTATTATCCGAAATCCTACCAACTGACTCATTCTGCAACAATTTTGGTCAAATAACTAGGGACAAAATTTACACATCCAGCTTTCTCATAAAACAATTTAAAGGAAAGCTTTCTAAGAGAAAAAAGACTGTGCCAGCATGCTATTCGAATTCTTTTTGGTGTCAGTAGAACTTTACCCAAAGAATAATAACCATGGCGTGTAACGAACTCAATTTAGAATATAGGCTTCCATTCCATAAACAGCAGGAGAAGTATATCACTGTTCAATTTAGAATACAGGCTTCCAATCCGTGCAAAGCTCCACAGTACGTACCTCATAATTTGAGAAACTGAATAACCTATCCAGCCGAGAAATCTCCTTGACAGAACAATCTTCTTGTGGCATGCAAGCAGGAGCTGAAACAGAATATTGGCATTGACCCTCCACGTCAGTAGGATCGATATCTACTACTTCGTTACTGTTTCCCTTGCATAAGGAATTGGTCTCTCCTGCAACTATTAAGCAAATGAAGGCAAGTAACATTGAATATAGAGAAATTAAAGAACCCTGTGCAGAAAATTCCCTTACCTCCACAGTCAACATCGATTGGTTCATCATCTATATCAATAGGTTCATTGCTACTTTCTATTTTTACAGCCCCAGTACATCCTCCAACTAGATTAAAAAAATAATATAGAAAACAAAATTAGACACAAATCTATCATATAATAAAGCATTTATACTAGAGTAAAGCAATGATAGTAGGCAAGAAAAAATAGAAACACAAATTTAGAAGAAAAAAAACAGAGAGAAAAGAAAGATATACTTACAGCACTGAAGAGACTTATACTTAGTGCGAGGAGAAGTGTCGTCGTCCTTGTTGTTGCCGTTTCGTCTTCTCTTTTGGATCCGAAATTTGCCGACGAACCTCGCAGACTCCTTCTCGACTTTGTCTTCTTCTTCGTCGAACTCGAACACACTAAATTTCTGACTCCAACGAGCCATGACTCACTCGTAGGGAGCTTTTTGTTCTTGTTCTTTTTTTAGGGATACTTGTCGAGAAAGCTTTTGATTTTGCGAGCTGACAGTGAGGACGTGCGTAGCAGGTGAGCAAAAGACAAATTTTTGGAAACAGAGAATTTAGAGTCAGAGAGACAAGTAAAGGCTGTGTCAACTTTTAATGAAGTGATCAATATGTTTGTTTAATGTTGATGGGCTTGGGCCTTTTTCTTTTTTATCCAATATTAAAAACTTATTTATTTATTTTTTCTATTATATTTTTATTATTATTAAATAATATCCTTAAATATTTTTTCTAAATTAATTTTTTATTTTTATTTTATCCTTTATACTAGAATAAAATTGTGGAATATTAATGAAATAAGCTTTTAGATTTTTTTTCTAAATAAAATATATATATATATAGATTTTAAATACTAAGCCTAACCTTATTTAAGATTTTAGTTATTAGATTGTTGGTCAGTTAATTATATTATTTAAAATAATAATATTATTATTATTTAAGTTAATTTGATTGAATCTTGTTTGAGTTGCCATACAAGTATTAATAGTCATAATGACTACGTCAAATTTTAAATTATTAACATATCTAGGTGGGTGTAATTCGACGTTTTTATATACACATTCAAAAAAAAAGCTACACCAGCTTGTGGATGCAAATCTCCTCAGCAAGTTACAGATCATGTGTGCTGAATTGCATGGAAAATCATACCAAATGTTATGTATATATTAAGTTTCAAACCAAGAAAATAAAGAGTGAATAAGAATGTTTATCCAATTAAAATTACTGAAGTATAGTTTTGCAAAACAACAGATTCAAAAAATTAGAACAAAATATAGAACATTATTTTATTTTGTCGAAGAGATATTAGATGATTTAAAATCTAATAAATATATTGTTCTACTAAATTCTTTGAGCAACGTAGAACTTTATTCAACAGCAGCACTTGCAGCACTTAAATCCACAGAAAGATCAAGAGTCTGCAATACCAAAACACCAAAGAAGAAAAAGAAAATTACAAGTTAATTATATGTTTATTTCAAAAAGATTTTAAAGCCAACAATTCATATATATATTTATTTCAAAAAAAATTTAAAGCCAACAATTCAAAGAAGATCTAGCAAGGATCTTGTTGTCTTTTTTTTTTCTTTTTTAGCTTTAAGAACTTATGTTATTGAAAATCTAAAGAGAAAATTTCTCTTTATAAATCATTTACAAAGCAAAGGGTCATCTTAAAAAATCTAGGACATTTACCTTTCCAGTTATCTCACTGTATATTGCAATCACATCTTGTACTGTGGTCTCAAAATGTGTTGTTGCATCATAGCTCTGCAAGGAATATCAAGATTTTTATCATTAAGGCTGGATTTTTCAAAAAAAAATAAAGTGAAATAATTAAAGCTATATTAAGCTTCTTTAAAAATAAAAAAGAATATTCATTTTCTTTTTAGACAAAGGAAAAAAAATGGTGTGAATGGCGTGCAAATACTTACAGTAGAAATGAAGCAATTGTCCTCTTTCATAGTATTTATAGGCACATATCTGTCATAAGTTTCATAGAAAATCTCATCTACTGGACCCAACAAGTCAATTCCTGGCTTCAGTTCTAGCTCAGGGTTGTCTGTCTCAGCTTCAGCTGAAACAAAAGCAATGTATTTTCCTTGTGGAGCAACATTGTGAGCATAAGAACAACAGAACAGGTACCTAGAGAAGCAATGTGAAAAGTTAACAAAATATCTTAAATGAGGACTAGTTACTATGCATGTTGCGTTATATTTCAATGATTATAAAAGCATAGGCTACATATATCAGTAGCCAGATTGAGGTTTATATGTTGTTTTATTTTCATCTAAGCAAAATCCTAATCCCATTGTCTCATGATAAATTATTGTCAGCTGATCACTATAACGAATTCAAATGAAAAGTGAGATATCAATGGAAGTTGTGGAAAAATTGTGCTTATATGAGAGCTAAGTGGGCTTAAACTACACAGAAACTTGTTGAAATGAATTTCAAGCAAGAAATTATAGCTGCATACATGTCTGATTTGCGTCCAAGTTGCTTTTGTGGTAGAATAACTTGTGCAGAGTGAGAATCACTAGTAGCAGGAATAGGATGGCTCATTATACAGATAGCACGAGCAACTTTCCCGACATTCTTAACCTGTTGCATTAAAGCAATGATAAATGAAGGCGATATCAACATCCATTTCACCATACAAACTAGTGAAGATCTTAATATTGTTTAAAACTTTGACTTGGATTACCTTGTTTGGCAAATATGATGGGTCACAAACAACTTTCTTGCATTTAGCAGTTTCTCCTTCTGAGGTGACACCAATGGCTTTACCACTCTCATCAAACTCTACCTATCAATGCTCAAGATAATTTATTATGATCAAGCATGCGACTAATTAACAATCCCATATTCATATCTTAAAGATGATCGAGGACATTGATACAGGTTATTATCGCAATTTTACCTTACATTCAGGCTTGTTGAGCATGTAAGTTCCACCATATACTGCACTTAAGCGTGCAAATGACTGACAAAATACTACAATCCGTTATGAGAACTTATTCGCTTTCGAAACCTACACAATAACTATAGATTAAACAAACCTGAGGCAATTCTGCTAGTCCATAAAGTGGATAGATATAGGGTGATCCTCCTTGGAAACGTGCCAAAGAATCTGCATAAAGCTTTATAAAAAAGAAAAAACAACAGAAAACTTGAAAATCATTTTTTATTTTTTTATAACCATCAAATATTCAAAGAATTTCAAATGCACCTTCATTCTCTTCACAAAATCCAAAGCTGGTTGAGCTAAGTAACTATCATCAAGATGAAGAGCCAAGGCATGGCCAATAAAGTCAACTGTATCATCTTCAAGCCCATATTTTCTACATGAAATATTATTAAAAAGAATTAATCTAGTATAGAAAATTGACTAACCAAATATACATCAAGATATAGAGCTATTTTCCTTCCCTCTTTTCATCAACATCATCCATTATCCATATGATCTTTTATATATTCATTGAAGTTCTTCCATCAAATATGGATGATGTCATCTTAACTAAACTGAAATATTTATCAATAAAAAGAGAGATGTTGATGAGACACATACGAGATAACTTCTCTTGCTGTAACTTTGGTCAAGTCCAGACCCTCATGAGATTTGGGATCATTTTCCTCATAGTCTTGGACATAAATGAAGAACTTTCGAGCACGACGTTTCTCAAACAATCCCATTAATGGTGATTTAAGTGCTTCCACATCAGTTGCTGGGACTTTGTAAATCTGAAAATCATCATTACTTATCACATATTTTGTTGTTTTCTGATCTAAATTGTAGAGAAAAAATCATGATCATGCAAATTTATTGTACCTTCCCTTTGTTGTACACAAAACTACCATCAACAGCCTTAAAATGAAGATATTTAGTAACATCTGTGTGTATCAAAACACGGACCAAACCACCATTGGCGATGATAAACTAGCAAAACAAATCGACAAAAAAATCAGAAAGACAACATAAACATGTCATGATACTGCATTTTATCAATTAACAATAAATAAATCATATAATGTCATACAAAATACCTTAGGTATCATATCAACATTGTACTCCTTACTTGCACCTAAGCTCTCTGGAGGTGTATCACTTCCCCTGAAACGCTTCCATAACTGTAATTATGAGAAGGGTTAGGGGAAAAAAATCATGTAAACATATAAAAAAACATAGCAAAATCATCAACAATTAAATTTAAAGTTTTAACATGGACATAAAAGAATAACCTGATTAAGATTAAGAGATGTAGATTCTCCTCCATAATAGTCATTGCGATCCATATGCAACACCTATTTCAAATGAAGATTCAGATGGATTTATCCAAGAAAACTTTTTAATAATCAATTAAATTATATAGATAAGGTTAAATTAACAACATGCTTTTTTTTATTATTATTATAGACAACAACAATTTAAAAATTCAATGTAATTTCAACACCAATCTAACTATCAATACATTCCCATCAAATCTAAATTATAAACATGAAAACATAATTAAGAAAAATTTACTTTGAGTCCATCAACAGAAAGAAGACCACTGAGAATGCATTCCTTAAGACCAGTTCCTAGAACAATTACATCGTAGTCTTCATCCATGGTCACAAAATTCAAAATAAGAGAAACAAACCCTTTTAAGATTTGATGGATATAAGGAGAAAGAGAGATTGGTTTTCTTGACAAAGCAAAGAGAAATATTGGAGAGAGTGGACGCAGGGGAGTCTATATATGTTTGTTGATTTGGAGCAAGTCTTCAGCGGGAACCAACGACAATAACGCACAAAGCAGAGGTGAATAATGGGAAGCAAATGGCATGCATGCCCACGTTAATTGCACCGCGTGGAATTGCACGAGGTGAATTGTGAGCGCTTGAGTTTCGCTGCTTTGATTTGAGATTTGCAGAGACCAGTTTCTAGAGGGTTGATTAGTGACAGTTGGATCTGGCTTGCTTCCTTGATTCTGGGCTTCTGTTTCTTTTTTGGCCAAGAACATGCAAGGGGTAATCATCTAAACTCCTTTGTGGAAAAATATTTTATTTGAGAAATCCACCAAAAGTATATTAGGGGTAATAAATTCTGAATTCTCAAGCTTTTTTCCTTATTAGGGGTAATAACTTAAACTCTAATTTGTGGAAAAAGTTTCTAATTGAAAAAATCATTGTTATGTGAGCCTTAAGCATCTGAATTTATTTTATATGAAAATTTTATTTTGGGGGGGTGTTACACTGAGAAATAATATTTAATGGGTTTCTTTGGCTAAATGTCTTTTTACAGCCAACAACTTGCTGCATGTTTTATCTTTTTTCATTGAAAAATCAGCCATACATATATATAGTTTTAAGCTGATTATGAGCTGTGAAATTCTTTGCATTTGTGCCCTTTATTTACAATATATATATAAGAATTTCACAGCTCATATATAATCAGCTTAGAACTGAGAAAATGATAAGAAACAAGGTTTGGTGGGTGCATAATCCTATCCTTTCCAACTAAAACTGAAATAAGTAGACATGGCAACTTCATCCAAATCTGCTACAAAACCATAAAATGGCAGATACAACTCCCCCTTCCACTAGCTACAACTCATTTCCTCCTAATTTAAGGAAACAAGAGAAGCCTTGGTTCACACACACACACACACTACAAATTTCTATAATCAACAAGCAGACACGAAAAGGGCTCACAGGATTTTTATTAACTACAAGCCAAGATGAAATTTTATTTGAAAGCAATAGTAACACACCATTCATTAAGTTAAATGGATGACTGCTAAGGCATTAAACACTTGCTAGGACCCTCCATCTCTCAGATTCAATCAGGAAGAGATAGCCTGCAAGAATTTTGGATTTGCATTATATAAAAATCAACAGTCAGAAATCAAAACCATTACGATAGTTGGAAGAACTTTATTTGCATGGGAATGAGTGTAACATGCCAACCCTAGTTTGAGAAAGGCACAAGAGCTGTCACAGTCCTGGCGAGGATCAACTGAGCCCATACTGCTGATATTGGTCACCAAAGAATCTGAGGACTGGCCTGGTTCGAGCAAATGCCCTTGTCCTGCTAACAAACTCATCACCTGCCATGTAAAAAGTGAAGTCAAAATTGAGAGCGTGCAACAAGAACGGACTGCAAATCCGTCAGAGATCTCGTAGTCTCACTTGCTGCTTCAATCGCTGGTTCTCTTCTACTAATTGCTCCCCCTACAAATTAACCAAAACTAATATGAAATTGAACAGAGTGACCGTTGTAATCATTTGTTTACGCATGGTAATAATATCAGTTCATGCACATCATATATATGGCTGTGCTTAATGTTTTTGATTCAGGATAAAGTTTTGAAGCTTCGAATCTTTGCCTAAAAATGTTCGGAGTAAGGAATGTGACCTTGATCTTGAGAACATCGATCTCATTTATAACTTTATCCCCCTGAATCAAATAGAAGTTTAAACGTGTTAGGTATTGTACAAAGTTTTCAGCCTATCTACTGAATTAAGACAAGAAATGACTGCACAAACCTTCTCTTCCACGAGGCGACGCAAGCTTCCTTCGATTATTTTTTCTAATTTCAGTAGTTCTTCCAAGTCCAATCCTTGGAGGTCTTCTCCCCTCATGTGTCTGTCATCAATGGATCATTTTATGTCTCAGCATTGCAAATACGAATGTTTATCTATGGTATCAACCATTATTAATCATGTAATTTACCTCAGTTCACGGTTTTGCTTTGCTATTTCTTTGATCAGCATGGCATGCACACCACCATCAAGCTAAAAGGACAAAAGAATATTGCCTTTTGTTAATGCATAAACATGTTATCTTATATAATTTAATAAAGTTAGATTCTTGCAACAAAATCATTATCTTCTCCATCTCCAACTTAATTTAAAGTTTTTGAAACAAATTATTTTCAGAAAAATAGGTTTTTAGACATAGTTTTTGGACACATTTGAGATCTAGTTAAAAGTGAAATGCATCCATTTTTTGAACTTTGTTGAGAACTTTTCTTCAACATGAGAATTATAATATAAAATACTAAAATGTCTAAAACTAATTAAAGGTAAATAAGAAACTGATTTCAAATAACCCTTGGTAGAGTTCACAATACACCAAAATCCAACTATAAAACTTTGTCTCACATTGAGAAAATAAAAATTATTCTTCTCTTCTAATTAAGGCCTATATATAGGTGTATACAACCTTTATCCCATATTGAAATGGAAGAAACTCTTCTTCTCTTTGAAGACCTCTTGCTTGTTTATGAAAAATCAACAAAAAAAGTATTCATTCTAAATTATCTTCCTTTACTTTCATCTTTTGCGGTCATTTTAGTTTTCATGTTTTATATAGAGAGAAAGAGAGTCACTTTTCTTAAGTTTGCTTAAGTTTAATGTTAAAATCGCAGCAACACTAAGTAATATGATTGTAGAATCCTAGAAGAAGATTTACATCTACTACATGCACCAATTGATAGGAAAAATTCATCTTAAAGACAAATGAAGACAAATGGTACAACTCTAGCAACAATCACCTCTTTCTGTTGTATCATGTAATTAAAGCTTCAACAAATATGTGAAATTTAATTTGTTAATGATTGAAGTCTTTAATATCTTTTACTAAATTTCTTTGTAGTTTGTGACTTGTTATTTGATCTAAATTTTAGGTTTAATTATTAATCAGGTTTAGTTAAATAAATTTAGTTTTATTTATCTTTGTGAAAATGGATTAAACTTTCTTTGATTATTAAATCCAACAATCTTAAGACATTTTAAAATTTAATTATTTTATAGAGTATTTTTTTTGAGTAATTATTATTATTATTACTACTACTATATAAAACAAAATAACCCTATTTATGACACATGTATGTTGCTCCACGATATTAATTTTGTTTAAAATCATTTATTAGTTACATATTACAAAACTATACAATATGAGTTCTATTATTTATTTTTTAACAAATAACCAAAGTTTTTGAAATGTTGCTTTCTCCCATAAAAAAGAAAAGAGAAAGGAAAAAAGGTTAAAGCAAGACTAGTCAATTGCCCAAGTAGCTTCTAGTTTTTCAAAATATTACTTTAGTAATAGTAAATGTTGTTTCAACAAGCAAAATTCTATTATCATATTTTATGGTGCACGGTTAGAAATTTGAGAACAGTATTTCAGTAAAGAGGATTCCATCATCACCTTATTTGACACATGGTGTGAAACTTGAGAAATTCAAAAGTGTGAGTTTTAAAATATAGCAACAAAAGATGCTCTTCATTCTTACCACCTTGAAGTTATTAAAAGTTCTTGATTGAAGATGCATCAAAGCTTTGAGTGATGAATATGACCCTACTATTAAGACAATTGTTGTTGATGCATGGACGGACAACAATAACAATTTCATGTGTAAGAATAACATTTTGAATAGCTTGGACAATTTACTATATGAGGCGTATAGTTTAATAAATAGTGCAATGCTTTTGATTGAAAATAAAAGGCTAAAGATGCCAACGTGAAAAGTTTTGAGTCGACAATATACTAGTTGATGTCTTCACTTTTGGTGAAGTAGTTATGTCTTGGAATTTCCCTAAGCAAATGTTCATCACAAGATTTATGATAAAATCAGAGTTTATTATTTTTGATAAAACTAATGTATAAGTTAAGTGGCTTTGGATAAAATAAAATAAAAAATTATACTTCTCTTCAACAATAAAAATAGACATATTTAAGTGAAAGAAAAGATAGGGAAAATGATTTTATAGAAAATAATTAAAAAGAAAAGGAAAAACAAGTTATAACAAAATCTAGCCATGCAATTAGGATTTGACTTATCAATCCAACATTAATCAGCAAGGATAAAAAATTATTGTTTATCCTTTATTCATTTCTTCCATTTATATGAACATCAATCTTTATATCGGTATAAATTCAAAAACTCGATAAGCTACAATAAAAAAAACTAATTACCTGTTTCTCAAGAGATGGTTGATCGAGCGTGTTGATGTTCTTTGGATGCAGATTGCGCCTTTCAATCACTTGCCCCATGCTTCAAGAACAAAAGCAAGGCCAAGTCATTTCCTGAATTATTGGTGATGAAGAACAGGTAAAAACTAGCTAATAGTAACATTGGTAGAAAATTTAATTGCTAGCCACTAGGATTTTTCCGAGTATGATTTCAAAAAAACACCCTCTCTTGTCTAAATAGAAAGAATTTCTTTTTTCAATGATAAATAGATCATTATCAATAGGAAAGTAACTATCTCCTATAAATAAAATCCCAGATGATGCACAAACCAATGGCGCTAAGCACCCTGGCTTGAAGGAGTCATAATGGTTAGGGCAAGGTGACTTGATGAGGTGAGTACTAAAAGAAGCATTGACCTCTGCTATTTCGCGCTAATTCCAACGTGACTTGGTGTTAATGATGCGTGTGGGTCCATACGGACCATGATCCATCCTCTCCACAGATGTTTTAACAAAACGCAAAACAGAAAAGTTCCATCCTACACCCTCGAGAGATAAAGACTGTTACTGATATTATAAATCAACAGATAAAGAATCACTATCTGATGGGCGATGATGAAAGGCCTTTTTCTTCAAATAGTGGCTGAGTTTGATAGCAACCGTCCGATATCTTAACAACCCCCACCTGTTCATAGATACGATACGGGGAAATGTTTTCATGGACCCCCAGAACTGCAAACAACCGTCCAAATCCTTCAATGGGTTGAGTTAGGACTCGAGTTTTAAGACTCATTTATAAATAAAACTGTTTTGTTTACAGATACATTACAGTTATAATTATAATTATTATATAAAAAAATATATAATGATCATACATAATTTAATTTGTTATTCATTATTATTTATTTATTTTGTAAGCATAGAGTGAAAAGAAGGCTCACCAAGATCCCATAAAACAACCAGTTTGGAGAGAAAAGACGAAAAATTTGCTGCTTCTACATATTCCAGCAGCAAACTACCAATCTTGGAAAGAAGGTCTGCCTAGAAACTTGACAAATCCAAAAGGGCAGACAAAGTCCAAACAAAAAATGAAGAAGATAGACATGGTGTCAAGTCCAACAGAGACTGCTTGAAAGCCACGGTAAAACCAGAAATGCAGCAGCAGGAAATGAAGGATACAGAGAGCAAGATTAGCTAGTCTAGGTTAGAAAAAGCAAAGCAGGATAGATAACTGAAAACAGACTAAACGATAACAAATATCAGTAGCAAAATAGCCTGCAAATAAGTTTATCTCTTACTATATTATATTTTGCCATAAGATTCTAAAAATATATTTTAAAAGTTTTAGTTATCCTTTGTATCTTAGAAAAGAACTTCACCGCAAGTTTTATTATTTAACCCCTTTTTCATTTTGTTTTAGATTTCTTCTTAAATATTTTTTAGAATTTGTTTTAAGATATTGAAAGTCTATTATTGTTAACTGGTATAATTCTTAGAAATGGTTTAGAGCACCTTGTTATGCTAATTATAATTCAGATTTTTATTTTTAAAAATACAAGATGTATAAATATGAAGAACAATTTTCTACTTTTATGATCATAATTTCATTCGAATATAATCAATATTTAATAGTTATATAAGAAGAAAAATAGCTTGCAGTTACAAACTATTTTACAAGCGAGAGAAATGAGGATTTTAAAAAAAATATTTCAAAATGTTTTTAAGAATACTAAAAGAAAAAAATTAATTAAATGATACTTTTTTAAATAAGTTAAAAGAGTAATATAGATAACACAATTAAATATATACTATAGAAATAAACTTATACATCTTCACAGATTATAACATTTCTAATCGATAATTTATCTTTCAAAACAAAACTTATATAAACTTTTTCTTTAGTTGTTACATTATTATATTTTTCAATCAGCAATTACTGAATGGTAGATGGATTCAAGATTTTATGATTAAAACTTCATTTCTTCTAAAAAGAATAAAAAATTAGGTTATAATATTTGTAACTTGTTATTTACTAGAAATTTTTATTCAAATGAAAAGGGATATTTGTGAGGTTTTTTTTTTATATATATATAATCATTGATATTATTAAAAAAAAATGGCTATTTAGACCGTAGCAATAAAAAGAAGATGAGGAAACTTACATTGAGATATGAAAAAGAAAAATAGACAAAACAAATCAAAACATTTGTAAATCCTATGCTAATTTGTCCAAAACTTAATGTCATTTCCATGCATTAGAAGATCAGATCCTGAATATAAAAACTGGTGATTATAGGACTTCAACCAGTAAAAAAATTATAAGTAAAAAAAAAATACTATCAATAAGTTCACATTTAAGGAAGGCAATTTAATCACTCTTGTATTTATGCAAATCAAGAAGAGTATGAAAGAACTTTTATTTTATGAAAGTAAAAGAGATGACAAATAAAAATACCTAACTTGTCATTATGATGCGTGTTGTTTTTTCTCAAAATTTTCTCGATCAACTTTGTCTAATATATGTTAAACATTTTATTTTTTATGACATGTGTACTTTACTCAATGAAAACTAATTACAAAAATAATTAGCATGGAGCTCCAATAAAAGTCCAACTTCACTATATTAAAATATAGGCAATTATAAAGGTTAAGAAATCTCTCTTAAAATTCAACTCCATCAACCTTCATTGCTAGCTATCCAACATACCCTTAGGAAAGTAAATTGTTTGTGTGTGTGTCATGAACATATTTCTAGACACAATTTACAAATGGATAATCACTCCTAATAGCTAAACTAGAAGAGAGCTTGCCAACTCGAAATTCTCAATCAATCTAGGAATGTCTTCACTCCCTAGTTGATTGACTCTTTACCACTTGATTATTGCTAGCTAAGCTACTAGTTCAATTGAAGTTTCATCTCTCTTAATGTAATTTATTTCTATCCATGCATGAAAAAGAAAGAAATTTTATATCAGCTTGCAAAAGAATGATCTTTACATATGTCAATGGGCTAGCAAAGTAATTATGTATGTTGTATTGGTTTTTTTATCTCTTGATTTCTTTTTTTCTCGGTTCATGAAAATGCTTATCTTCCTTCCTAATTAATGTTGGCCTGCTTAGGGAGGTTGATGCTATACTCTACAAGTTATCCTTTTTTTTGTCAGGTTTTAGCACTTGTAATTAAAATTGATTGAGAAAATTAGTACTTAATTTTCTTCCTTAGGGTTTTTCCTCTTTTCTTAAAGTGTTCTTAAGGTGTTTTATTTTCTCTTCTATTCTTGTTTCTTCTCTACTTGCTACCTTTACGGATTTTGCTTTGTGTTGTTTTCTACAAGTTGGTTAATTTCCTGCCGTCTTGGCATGAAGCCTTGGCTTATAAAGGAATAAAAAACATGCTTTAAATGTTTTACACCACTTGTTTCCTTTAGGTAGGTAGAAAATGTTTTTCTTTTCCATTGTTTAGGTGAAATTTTGTGAAACATGCATGAGAGTAATCTTTAACTCTAAAGACCTTACCAATGAAATGCTTTTTTTTTTAATAGGAAACACTAAAATGCTGATTAAATAAGCTCTAATTCATTTTAATTTTTTTGGTGTAACTCAGCACTATATCGGAGGCATTATACAAGAAGTTAGAGAATTTTTAAAAATGATTTACAAACAAATGTTTTATATTAAAATCTCATAGAAACTAATATATGTTAAATGGTGAGTGATAAAATATATGGTCCACGAAAGATAGATAAATTATTGATCCTTTATAAGAAAAAATATCTAAATTTTATATAAAACGTTTGTTTATAGCATTACTCTTTCTAAACTGTCCCCAACGTTTTAATGTAATTAGGAGCAGCACTTCACTCATTAATAACATTAATTATGAAATAGTGAGCAGGATTAGAAGCATTGGCAAGTGTCACCTTAACGAAATTCTTTCCTCTCCTCGAAAGATCCTTCAAATTAAATCATTCGGCACAACTATTTTCTATATTTTTTCAATAGCAACAAAGTCAAAAGGGAAAGAAAAGGAAGTGCTTTAATTTTAACCAGAAAACAAAAGGGAAATTGGTGTTAGACTATTAAATTAAACAATATTGTAGGAAAAGAAAACGAGAAATGGCACCAATGGTTGAACTTGCAATTGAGACCAATGGTCTACTGGTTCCCATTGAAGCTGAAAAGGAACAAGGACCTCAGCATACCCCATGTTTGGACATGTATAAAGTAATATATGTATAATATGAGTTCAAATGAATTTAATGTAGTTGGAGAAATGTCAAGCTTGAAATTGGTAAGTGATTAATTTTCGATGACTTGAAAGTTTAGCGAGAAAGTGACACTTATCTAGCCTAATTAAGATTCATCATACAACTTTTCCTATAATTAGAGCATAATCTCATTACCTGTGAAATCGCAATCAGTGGTTAAGAGCAAGTAGGATTAAAGTTAGGTTCCCGCAACCCAATGAGGAGGTGAAAGGAAAAGGAGATGAAAAGGCAGTGTTTATGGCTGATGTTAAAATCCTCACTTCTCCCCTATCATATTTAAGTTATAAAAGCAAGCAAGTAAAAAAGAAAAACAAGAAGAAGAAGAAGAAGCGACGGCTCCTCAATATCCAATACCAGTTCGATTAATATCTACTAATAATCAAATTCTCATTTTGCCATATTATCAATCTGTGCTTTAACAATCGTATCATTCATATGGATTTGTCTTTTGTTGATGAAATTAACAATGAAGGAAGTAAAACAGACATAATTATATTGATAAACGTGGAAAAGATATCAACAAATGTAAGAAAATTTGGAAGCCTCGTACAGAGACAGAAAGTTTGGAGTGCTTGACAAGGGTAAAACTAGAGGAAGACTGGATATTGATGCTAAGAGAAATAGAAAAGGCTCGTGTATGATGTAAACCTGCTCCAACAAACCCATTTACCATATCTATCATTAAACATTTACAATCACGTAGTAGAAAGAAATTGATCCTCGATATTGATAAATATTTTTCACACTAATAGATAGATATATATGGGACATTATTGTTTTTGTAGTTCATCATATATTAGACATTGAAGCTATGTGTTGATTCATCCAATAACAATGTTAGAGGTAATAAGTGCCTATTAGTGTTTTGCAAATCCAACCCCGTGATAAGATTTTGATCTTCTTCCCTCCAAATCTTTCATGTAATGGAGGTTGTATATGTTACCCTAGCACAAGATATCTTTTATCTCCAAAGTTTTATATATATATATATAAAAAAAAAAAAAAACACTAGTACTGGTTTCTAGCTATGACTATTGATATACTGGAAGATTAAATACAATTAATTAGTACAAATCAGGCAATTATATCAATATAGTACTAAACAAAGACAGTGAAGAGACTTTTTTTTTTCCACATAAAAACTATATATATGCTGCAAGTCACTTCAGACGGCAGCACTATTAGCTCATACATCATTATACGATATGAGTAGTTGTAATCAATCTCTTTATCAAAGAATTCATATAGGTGGTACTATATTAGCTTAGGGGTAGTGAAGTTTCAGGATTTTCCCTTTAATTTTCTGGAAAAAGAAGGCCTTATTTGATTCAGTCGTCTATGCCCTATATTTTATGAGCACATCCTCATAGTAAAATGTGGTTTCTGGGTGTCTAGAGGATAGCAAGAGCAACTTAATGACACATGGAAAACATCGTCGTTTTTTTGTTAAGAAGGAAACACAGTAACTATACATATATATAAAACAATTAAGACATTAAACCATAAATTACTCAAGTTTCATACAAAGGTGGCATTAAGAGGAGCCATAAGTTGACGTGTCAATAATCCTTGAAAATGATTCGAACTTGCAATAAATGGCTGCAACTGACATCAAAACATTCATATCATCAGTGCCAATCTCTCCTTTTACCTCGAGAAATATTATTTCGCTCACAGATATCAAAAGATTCTATTGTACACCCATTTCAGCCATTCTCTTCTTTTTTCAATTTTGTTGGGTTCAGAAGCAACCATAGTTAATGAATCCTAGGTTGATCAATGAGATCACAGATGACAAAATAAAGAAGGAAAATAAAAAGAAAATGAAAAGGAGAAGAACCTTGAGTTTGAGTACTCAAAAAGCTTGCCAGTTGCAGAAAACACCATCAGCGCAATCTCAGCATCACATAGAGTTGAGAGCTCATAAGCTTTCTTGAAAAGCCCTCTTCTCCTCTTTGAGAAAGTAACTTGCCTTGCAGCTGTGTTGTCTATCTTCTTGATCTGGATTTTCTTCCGAGTCATCTTCACCAAGTAAAAAAACTTCAACTCACCCTTCATGCAAAATCAACCAAGATAAGTCATCACATATATAATGATCAAAATAGAATCCCTAAGAGACGGAGAGAGACCGAGCACAAAAACCACAGACCCTTTGTTACATGCTCTTTAATAGAGGACAATATCAATGTTTACAGACAAAAAAATCAATACCCTTTACATAAAATGAGAAAAAAGCATGCATCCTGCATACTTAACAAGTATATTTACAGGGAAAGAAAATGTTTTCTGACTGGCATATACGCACACATGTCTTACATATTTTCAAAGACTTGAACAGAAAAAGGAGGAGAAGAAAGAGTGATGAATTTGACGAAATAAAGAAATCTGGATCACTCCCTTACCGAAAGAAGTCCTTTCATAAGGAAGAATATATCAATTGAAGATCTGGAGTTACGTCAATGTAAAATAGTGGATCTTGATTGCAAGAAATCAAGGAGGGATCTTAGGTCACAGAAAATCAACCCACAAGAAAGAGAGAGAGATAAAGGTGTAATTATAACACAGAGAGGAAAATTAATTGAAGAAAGCAAGTGTCTACTGACTGCTTCAAATCATGAAAAAATTATCTTGCTTCAATAAAAGTGGAAACAAATTATAATAAAAAGAAAATGAAGAAAAAATCAGGTACACCAGTAAGAGAATATTTCTGTAAATAGAAATGTATAGAATCCCCCTCTGTGATAAAGTTAAGGAAAGAAAATTAGGTAAAAAAATAATAATAAGAGCCGCAAAGAGCGAACTTTTGCCAAATCAAGCCAAGAATCTTGAACTGAGTACGAAAGACGACGACGACGACGACAATAATAAACAGCACATAATCTATAACAACCCTAGCTAAAACTTTAAAACATGAAAGGTAATGTTAAAAGAATCAAGGTGGTGAAGTAGAGAAACCTACCAATAATTCAAGCTGTCATTGAGCTTCGCAAGAAGGGTATGGGCTTGCAAGGATTGGTCAGAAGTCCTTTGTTTCAGTTCTTCTTAACTATTTCTATCTTGTCTTTTTCTGGTACTGTGCACCACAGAAAATCGACGTCAATTCCCTACAACAATGATGTCTACAGTGAGACAAGAGATTTTTGTAGTAATTATTTAAAATTATAAAAATATTTTAAAACAAATAAAAAAATTAGAATTTTTCCTAAAATATTTTTAAAATACAAATATAAATAAGCTCTAGATTATTAAAAAAGATAGCATGAGTTGTTTGAGTTTTTGAAGGAACTCATGTTTTATAATTTTTTAAAAAAATATTTTTTTATATTTTTAATTATTTTAATGGGTTAATATAAAAATTAATTTTATAAAAATACATTTTGATGGATTAATATAAAAATTAATTTTATAAAAATACAATAATTACATATATTTTTAATTAAAAAACATATTAAAAAATAATTAATATCACAATTTTAAATATTTTATTAACCTAGTTTGTAGGAAAATGAAAGATTCATTCTGCAGCCAAGCAAGAAGTCACCGTGTGCAATTTTCTCCAATTTGTTAATTTTTTCTTCTCTTAAAAAAGAATGTTTGGAGATATTGTCTATGACATAAAAGGCGTTATTTTTTTTTATTGTAAACATCTTTATTCTTTCTCCTTTCACATTTCATATTTCATTGTATATTATAATAATAAGATTTTAAAAAAATTAATTTGTTTTATAATTTTTTTATTTGAACAATTAAACTCTTTTAAACCCAAAATTAAAACCCAATTACATATTTTTATAGAAGTAAGGATTGAATTAAAAAACAGAGCACTAAAGTAAAAAACATGAGTAATATAAATAATAACTTTGAAAGTTATTTTAAAATTTTATTTTCATTCCTCATCTTTATTTTAAAAACATATATTTTAATACCAAAATTTAATTTTTTTTAGTCATTTTTTTTTGTGAAAAAAAGAAAAAAAATTGCTAGATTCCAGTTTAAAGAGAAAATATTATTGTTTGGGAAGATTTAAATTTCTAAAACATCTATTTTTTATATTAAAATGTTTTATATGATGAGGAGAGTTAAAATTATATATTTTTTTTTACCTTAAAAACACTTATAAAAACATGTCTAAGCTAGGAAAGTTTTTGAATTTCGAGTTGATTTTGGATCTTAGGTGGTATTTTGCATTTTTTAAGACTATTGATTAGTTTAACAAGATTCATAAGGTATTTTCTAGGTGTTTTTAGTTAAAATAGGTTAAAAATAGATTTTTAGATTAAAAAACCTTATTTTTTTTGTCATATCTATGAGCGGATTTTGAAATTAATAAATAACACATCATTTTTTTTTTACAAAGAATAGGCCACTCCAGCCATATCTATGGGCGGATTTTGAAATTAATAAATAACATCGTTTTTTTTTACAAAGAATAGGCCACTCCATTTACTTTGGAAAAAAATATTGGCGCATGGAGCCTTTCTCTATAGGCTTGGCTTACCAGGCTCGTAAAGCATAACCTTATTAAAAAAATTTTATTTTTTATTTGTAATTTTTTTTATTTTTTTATATATATTTTTTAAAATAATTTTTGCATTTGAGTTTCGATTAATACACTTATGTGCTTTGTTTTTGGAATATTTAGCCCTTTTGAAATAATAATTATCTTTTTAATTATATAGAATGTGTTTAATTTTTTATGATTTTTTTTGAGGTTAGTGTAATTTATCTATAATTTGTTTTATATTTTATATAGATTAAACTTATTTTTTTAAAATTAATTTTTTTACAAAAATTTTAACATGTGCATCCTTGGAAATTATTTTTTTTATTTTATTAAATAAATTTTACGTGTGTGTCAATTTCTGTTATATATTTATTTTGATAAATAAATTTATTAAAAATAATCATGTAAATGATCCATATTACGATATTAAATATCTTGACGTATATTTATTGTTTAAATTTTCCAGTTTTTTTCATTAATAATTTTGTTATTTATATAAAATATTATTGATTTATTTGATTAAATATCTATATAAAGTTTTTTAATTATATTTTGATTTAAAAAAAATCTACATACCAAGGAGAAAATTTTATAATCTACCACGGTAAGCAGATCAAATAGCTAATATTAATTATTAGTTGCGGTCATTTTTTATTTTTTCGAGTGAGATTACAAAGTTGTCATGAAAGTAAGAGAGTATATTTATTTTTATGTTTAAAAATAATTTTAATTTATTTATAATTTTAAATTATTTTGATGTCTTGATTTTAAAAATAAATTTGAAAAATAAAAAAAAATATATAGTTTTAAAAATCTTAAAAGCTAGGAAATATTATTTTTAAAAATCTTAAAAGCTAGGAAATATTTTTCTATTTATTTTTTATTTTTTAACCTTGAAGTTTGTTTTGTATGGTGAGATTTTCTTTCCGTACAGATAACCATGCTGCAGTCTAGTGGATAGCCGTTGTACCCTCGTACCAATGTTGTCTCTCCAGCTCATCGCTACCGACAGGTCAGTACAAGGTAATTGTGACCATAGCTAAAAGGAGTGGAACACGTCATTTTATCTTTTTACGCAACAAGACGACAATATACTGTTAAAAAAACACAAAATACTCCACAGCCACGCATATAGATAAAGAGAAGACATTAAAATTGGTGGGCTCTCATGGCAATTAAGTAAACCCCACGCATTCACAAGCCCATTGAACCATGCTTGTGGGTGGAATCATGATTAATTTTAAAATTTTTTTTTTTAATTTGAAAATATATTAAAAAATATTTTTTATTTTTTTAAAAAATATTTTTAATATTAAAATATTAAAATAATTATAATACATCAAAAATTAATTTTTTAAAAATATTAATTTAAAAAAATTAATTTTTTAAAAATATTAATTTAAAAAAAATAATTTTTTTTCAAAAACATTTATAAAATGCAAAACAAACAAACTATTCAAAAACATTTATAAAATGCAAAACAAACAAACTATAAAAATATTAAAAACACTGTGAAAATATCTTGATTCATTTTGTTTTTATAAATTATTCGAGGTGATTTTATTTTTTTTAAAAGGTTTATTAGTTATTTTAGAATTGAAGCAATTAGAGACAGCTTGGTTTTTCAATTTCTTTGCACCATATAATTATTTAATTTATTTTAAAAAAACTTATTTAACTTGAATCTAATTTTTTTTTTATATTTTAATTTTTGCATCACAAAATGATCATGCTGCTCTTAAAATTAAAAATTTATTAACTTGACTTCAGGGGGCTTATTTATACTTTCATTTTGTTTTTTTTTTGTGTGTGATTATTCTGTGGTCTTAATGAAAATTTATGTTTTATTAAATAAACAAAAAATGTTGATGACACATGCCTGAAATGCACCAGCAAGCAAGTCTCACTACTGTGTTTAAATGGCATATGTGGCAGCTTATTACCATAAAAAACAGCAGCATTCCATGGTTTTTCTTATTCATCATGGGAATTACCTCCCTAGATGGCACGTGTGGCATGATTTCCACTTGTTTGGTGTCGATTTGTTTTTATTTTTTATTTTTTTTCTCTTTTTTGATTTCTATACCTAAATTTCATGAAAGCTTTTTAATTTGTTTTTTCTTTGGATTTGGTCTATATTCTTTCAATTGATATTCTTTTATTTTAATTATTTTATAGATTTAAATTCTATTTTTAATTTTATCATCCTTTATTTTTTTAATTTTTCATATTTGATCATCATTTTTATTTATTTAAATTGATAATTATTTATTGAAATTATTTTATATAATTATAATTTATTTTTAATTTCTTTCTTTTTTAATTTTCTAACCAATTTTTCAGTTATGACCTCCATTTTTTTATTACTAGTTATTTTATTTGAAATCATTTTTAATGAACTTATATATAAAACACATTTTTAATATTAAATAAAAGGCAATTCTTTTTTTTTTTTTATTTTTTTCTATTAAAATGATTAAATTTTAATGTGATAAAATACAAACTTTCTTATTTCATTTCTTTTTTTATCGGAGTAGAGGCAAGGCTCATTCTAATAACGAGAGAAAAAAAAAGTTGGTGATGATTTTAGTCATCAAAACAATTGATTTTTTTTATCAAATAATTCTATATAATAAAAAAAGTTTAAATTATATATTTTTTTTACCTTGAAAGTACCAAAAAAAATAAAAACAAATCTAAACTTATGAATATTTTTTCTTTTGAATTGATTTTAGGTTTACGGGTGGTTTTATTTTTGTGTTTTTTAAATTTATGAATTGATTTAACAAAATTCTAAAAGTTTTTTCTTGATGTTTTTAGGTTGAAAATAAATTCTTTAATGAAATAATAGAAATTTTATTTTTCAGTTACCACAATAACTAAAATTAAAAAATTCTAGACGGTGCATCATTGATAGAGACATGTCTAAATATATATAGTTTTTTTATCAAAATTTTCTAGATTAACTTTGTCTAATATATGTGAAATATCCTTTTTTTTTCTTGTCCTGTATACTTAATGAATAGTATGGAGCTTCTTTAAATACATGATTGAAAATTATCTTTGATTATTACTAGATATTATACGAAAATAACTTTTTGTAGAGAATTTCTGAAAATGATTCAAACAAATATTTCGTAGTAAAATTTCATATAAACAAATAACTTTTTAAAATATCCCACCTTTTCAATTTATCAGGAGGGGTCAGCACTTTGCTCATTTATAACATTTTGATATACCGAATACGAATTTGACGCATTGACAAGTGTCCTAATAATTGCTTTCAATGACTCTTACTGTTTTATTTTTTATTTAAAAATATATTGAAATGATATTTTTTATTTTTTAAAATACATTTTTAACATTAAAACAATTTAAAATTATAAAACAAAATTATTTTTTAAAAGAATATTCAACAAAAAAAACTTTCCAAACACAAAATTAAATAAGCAATCCAAGTATAACAACTATTTTCTGATACTTCACCAGTAGTATAACAAAGGCAAAAGGCGAATAAGCATGTAGCTACGATGTACACATTAGTTTCCCATTGAAGCTGAAAAGAAACAAGAACCTCAGCGTACCCTATGTTTTGACATGCAGAATGATATATTGTAGTAAATAATAAATGGATTTGATTTCAAATAAAACATTGTTAAAGAAATGTCAAACTTGAGATTTGAAGCTGAGAGATTAATTCTCAATTAATGGCAATTATCTAGCCTATTTAAGATTCATCCTATAATTTTTCCAAAAATTAGAACATAATCTTACCTGTGAAATCGCAATTAATGGCTAGCAGTTGGTAGGATTAAAGTTGGTTTCCCGCAACCCAATGATGGGTGTGTGTGAACCCAGTATTAACGATAGGAAAAGGAGAAGACAAGGGAGTTTAAGGCTGATGTGTTAAAAACCTCACTTCTCCCCTATCAAGTAATGCATCCAATACTGAAAAAGCCAGCCAGCCATGAGGAGGAGGAGGAAGTGCAAGCAAGCGATCGCTCCACAATCCAATACCAGTTCGATTAATATCTACTACTAATCAAATTAAAAAATATAAATATATCTACTATTAATCAAATTCTCATTTTGTCATATTATCAATCTGTGCTTTAAAAATGGTATCATTCATAGGGAAAATGAATAAATGCAACTGAACAAGAAAGGATTGGTTTTTAAGTGAAGAAAATTCTCATTGTCATTCCTCATAACCAGAGGGCTGGGGAGGTCTAGGATCACATCAAGACCCTAACTTAAAATCCAAATTAACATGGAAGGAAGGGAAGCATTTAATTTTGAAACTAAAATGACATTAGCTTTAGGGGTATTGAAGATTCAGAACTTTCCCTTGAATTTTCTGAAAAATGAAGGCCGTACCTTATTCAGTCTTCTATGCCCTATATTTTATGAGCACATCCTTATAGTAAGTTGTGGTTTCTGGGTGTACAGAGGATAGCAAAAACATCTTCCATAATATCAGTGGCTTTGGTCTCTAATGGCAGAATAAGTACAGGTCGTTTTGTTTTAGAAGGAAATATAGTAACCATACGTATATATAAAACAATGAAGGCATTACACCATAAAATAAGAGGATTTCAACTTACAATCATAATTTTTAAATCTAAAATCCAACCTGATGATCAACCCGATATAATAATTAGATTATGGGTCAGATGGGTTGATCTAGATCAACCCAAAAAACATTATACACAAAAAAAAAACCTATTTGATGACCGTTAGAATTTAAGATCCTTGTTTTATTTCCGATGTACACTCCACGCAAATAGAGAAATAAATTCTCAGGCTTAACCACAAAAAGCTAGAGAGAAATAGGAAGAAAAATCTAGCATTCCCTTCTCTATTTCGAATCTTCGATGACGGATTTACTTTTGTAGAGTACGACTCCACTTTTCTGCTTCCACGGCTCCCTATGTCTTCTTCTTCTTCAACCACCATGCCAACAGGACTCTAGATCGCACATGACGGTTATGTTGCTGAGGGTGAAAGCTTTGATGAACCAAGCCATAAAGAGAGAGTGAAATCCCCGCCCCCCTACCCCCTTATTTCAGCCTTTTTTTATATGTATTGTACTTTCTTTCTTTCTTTTATAATTTTTTGTTTTTGTTCCTGACCACAGAAACACTAGTAGGTTTATTGTGTTTTTCTCTTTAATCTTCCCCACTTTTCGCCCTCAAAATCCTTCCTTTGCAAATGTGCACTATTTTCACCATGAAAGCCCTTAATCCACACCCACAGCCACACCCACACCCACACCCACACCCACACCCACACCCACACCCACACCCACACCCACACCCACACCCACACCCACACCCATGTTCGCATCAATCAAAAACGGATTGCCATCATCACCACAAGATTTGACCTCCCTCCAAACAATCGCTCAACAAACTCATTGCAACACCAACGCATCCATCCACCATACCATGGCGTCTGCCACCATCACCCAACATGCATCTCTACTTTTTTTTGCAATTGATGGCATTGCAGATTGAGGAGTTTAGGTTTTCTGTCTGAATAGTGATGTTTTACTTTTATATATAAAAGCCGGGTCTTATCCAGGTTTATCCGAGTTTTATGGGTCCGAGGTCAACCAGATCATCCAGGTTGACCAAGTTTTTCTAGGCCAAATTCTTAGCTGATTTTTTTAAACTCGGCTTAATTCCAGTTCCAAATTAATCGAATCCTAGATCGACCTGTTAGGCTAAGCCAGATTTTAAAACTATACTTGCAATAACTGGCAGCAACTGACAACAAAACCTTCATATCATCAGAGCCAATTTCTCCCTAAGCTCCTCTCTCCTTTCCCTCGAAAAATATTATTTTGCTCACAAATATCACAAGATTCTATTGTACATCCATTTCATTCATTCTCTTCCTTTTCAATTTTATTGGTTGAAAGGAAACCATAGGTAATGAATGCTAGGATGATCAATGGGATTACAGATGACATAATAAAGTAGGAAATAATAAGAAAATGAAAGAGAGAAGAACCTTGAGTTTAAGAACTCAAAAAGCTTGCCAGTGCAGAAAACACCATGAGAGCAATCTCAGCATCACATAGATTTGAGAGCTCATAAGCTTTCTTGAAAACCCCTCTTCTCCTCTTTGAAGAAGTAACTTGCCTTGCAGCTGTGTTGTATATCTTCTTGATCTGGATTTTCTCTCGAGTTATCTTCACAAAGTAAAAAAACTTCAACTCACCCTTCATGCAAAATCAACCAAGATAATTCATCACATACTACTCAAAATAGAATCCCTATGAGTGAGAGAGACCGAGTACAAAAACCATACACCTATGTTATATGATCATTATTAGAGGACAATACCGATGTTTACAGACAAAAAAATCAATACCCTGTACATAAAATATGAGAAAAAGCATGCATCATACTTCATCAACAAGTATATTTACAAGGAAATCAATTTTTTTTTACTGACATATATGCACACATGTATTACATATTTTCAAAGACATGAACATAAAAAGGAGGAGAAGAAAGAGATGAATTTGACAAAATAAAAAATCAGGATCACTTACCCAAAGAAGTCCTTCCATTAGGAAAAAAATCAACTGAATCAACAAGCAGACATGAATTTTATTGACTACAAGCAGACATGGAAAGTGCTCATATGAATTTTATTAACTACAAGCCAAGATGTAATATATTTTATTTGCAAGGAGTAGTAATACATTATTAATTAAACTGATGACTTCTAAGCCATTAAATATTGCTGGATAACCCTCCATCTTTCGGATTCAATCAGGAAAAGGTAACCTGCAAGAATTTTGAAGTTGCGTAGTATAAATTAACATTATCAGGAATCAGAACATTTAAAATAAATTATTTGTATGAAAATGAGTGTAACAAGCCAACCCTAGTGTAAGAAAAGCACAAGAGCTATCGTTGTCCTGGCGAGGATCAGCTGAGCTCATACTACTGATATTGGTCACTAAGGAATCTGGGGATTCGCCTGGTTCGAGCAAATGCCCTTGTGCTGCTGATAAATTCATCACCTGTCAAATAAAAAAATGAAGTCAAAATTGAGAGTTTGTAACAAGAAGGGACTGAAAATTCGTGAGAGATCTCGTAGTCTCACTTGCTGCTTCAATCGCTGGTTCTCTTCTGCTAATTGCTTCCCCTAAAAATTAACCAAAGATAGTATGAAATTGAATAGAGAGTTACCATTGTGATCATTTGATCAAGTATGGTAATAACATTAGTTCATGCACATCATATATATAGCTGTGTTTAATTTTATTGATTCAGGATTAAGTTCTGAAGCTTAGTTTATAACTTTTACGATTTTTTACACAAATAGCCTGAAAATGTTCGTCGTAAGGAATGTGACCTTGGTCTTGAGAGCATTGATCTCCTTTATACTCTTTTCCTCCTAAAACAAATAGAAGTTGAAGCATATTTGTTAGGTACTGTACAAAGTTTTCAGCATATACATGCAGGAACAACCTATCTACCGAATTAAGACAAGAAAAGACTGCACATACCTTTTCCTCCACCAGTCGACGCAAGCTTCCTTCAATTAATTTTTCTAATTTTTTTAGTTCTTCCACGTTCAATCCTTGCAGGTCTTCTCCCCTCATGTGCCTGTCATCAATGGATCGTTATATGTCTCAGCATTGAAAATAGGAATGTTCATCTATGGTATCAACCATTATTAGTCTTGTAATTTTACCTCAGTTCACGGTTTTTCTCTGCTATTTCTTTGATCAACATGGCATGCACACCACCATCAAGCTAAAAGGACAAAATAATATTGCCTTTGTTAATGCATAAACATACTATCTTATGTAATTTAATAAATTAAGTTCACTTCCTGAAACAAAATCATTATCTTCTATGCCTTCAACTTAATTCAAAAATTTTGAAACAAATTATTGTTCGAAAAAATTATTTTTTGACAAAATTTTCAGACATGTTTGAGATCTAATTAGATGTGAAATTCATCAATTTTTTTGTTATAATCTTTTGAAATATTTTCTTTAACATAAGTACTATAACACTAAATATTAAAATGTTTAAAACCAATTATACGTGAATAAAAAATTGATATCAAATAACACTAGGTAGAGTTGGTAAAATAACAAATAACTTTCTCCCACATTTGAAAAATAGAAACTCCTCCTCGTTGTGTGTATGGTCTTTATCCAACATAATAAAAATAGAAATTCTTCTCTTCCAATGCCTATATGCGTGTGTGTTTATGTTTTTTATCCTACATTAAAAAAAAAACTCTTCTTCTATTTGAAGGCATGCATACACACATACATAGAGAGAGAGAGGTTTTTGCTTGTTTATAAAAGAAGAAGAAAAAGGTATTCCTTCTAAATTATCTTCCTATACTTTCATATTTTATGGTTATTTCATTTTTCAGATGCCGAGAAAGTACGTTGGTTTAGTGTTGAAGTAGCATCAAAACTAAGTAATATAATTGTTAAATTCTAGGAGACAATTTGCATATACTATCTGCACTAATTGATAGGGAACATTTATCTTAAGGGTAAACGGTACAACTATTATAAAAGTCATAACTTTCTATTGTATAGTATAATTATTGCTTCAACAAGTATGTATAATTAGTTAATGCTAATGATATGTGATTGCAAATAAGCTGAGGAGTGATCTAAAAAGGCGAAAAATGACAGGTTTGATTTTCAAGATTGATTTCCATGAAGCCTTAGTCTCCTAGGATTACCTAGATGATATCATGGGTTATATGGGGTTTGGCAGAAAATGGAGAACCATGATTTATGAATGTCTTTCTTCATCAAAACTCTCGGTCATCAATGGATCTCCTTCAAAAGAATTCTCTGTTCAGCGAGGACTGCATCAAGGAGACCCGATTTCCCCTTTTCTGTTTGACATAGCTACTAAGGGCCTCTCCTTCCTCTTTTAAAGGGCATCTAGTGGGAATATTATCAAAGGGTTGCAATTTGCATCAGGAATTTTCGTCAGCCATTTACAATATGCAGATGACACGTTAATATTCATCTCGGCAGATATTGATCAGTTAGTTCAAGTCAAAAGAATTTTAAGATGGTTTGCTTTGACTTCAGGCCTTTATATAAACTTCCATAAAAGCTCCATTATTGGTATCAATGTTGATGATCAGTTGTGCTTGCGCTTGACTACATCTATTTTCTGCATATCAGACTCCCTCCCAAGCAAATATCTTGGCATGCCACTAGGAGCCAATCCATCTCATATCTCTACATGGAAGCTAGTGATAAAGAACTTTTGTAAAAGGCTTCATATGTGGAAAGGGAGATTACTAAGCATGGCTGGTCGTCTATGTCTCATTAAAAGTGTCCTTAATTCCCTACCTATATATTTTATGCTTGTATTCCTACCTATATATTTTATGCTTGTATTCAAGATGCCAAAAGGGGTAAGCAAGCTTCTTTCATCCATCCAAAGACGTTTCTTGTGGTGTGGATGTACCAA